GATACTACGGAAGTCGAGAGATGGATGGGTAGCCCATGCTTGAATTGACCTGATTAAGATATGGTTTTCTTGTGCCCTCTAGTGAGGCACATCACGAAAGCCAAAAGGTGGACGAGTGAGTCTCTTGCATATATGTTCTTCAAATTCTTTCTCGTGACACTTATGCTACTAACATAATCAAAGTGACTGTCTAAGATAGAAAAAACTACTCTCCCTTATTTTACACTTGGGTATACTACGGGAGGCCTTTCTTAGCTTAGGCGCATAGATACTCCCCGTCATGATGTGTTGGAGCCCTAGGTAGGATTTGACTAGTAGATAGGTTGGGTAGCCTAAGTTTTGATTGAGAGTTGGATTTCCAGTCGTCAACCCTAGTTTAGACTTTGGGATATTACTTTCCTTTAGGAAGTGCTGCCCAAATTTGTACTGGATTAAATACTTTACTAACTTTCATCGGAGTCATTGATTTTTTTTCTCATATTCAAAACTGTTTATATTTGGCGAGCCTACTTCCCCATGGAAGTGCTGCCTGATATTTCCCATCTTCTAGTAAATCTGAAGTTCTACTTGAACTTCATGTAGATAGTTATGCTGTTAGTAAGGGCGTTGGGATCCTGTTGGTCTGTGCGTGTGCTAAAGAACATCCTCGTCAAATGATCGTTTTAGAGAGACTTTGCACGAGTTTATACAAAACTACATCCTGCTATCTTGAGATAGCACGTTGGTTTATCGACTGAACCCTCACCTACTCTTCGATACCCTCACCCTAGAGCATACCCTACAAAAAATGACATTTGTGTTTTTAGGCCATCGTCTAAAAGGTCTTTATCAGTCTAAAAGGTCCTTGGGTGACTAAGTCGGATTGAGAGATTGACCAAAATAAAAAGGATTGCTTGACTGTGGAAAGTTTGTGACATTTGCGGGATGAACAGTTGGAGTAAACAAAGGGTCGCCTTCGTGTGCATTGTGTGATGTCGTTTGATTGTGTCCACATGTTAGTAAGGTTTCATTTTGATTTTGCTCAGTGGAAAGGACTTGCATTGGTTGTCATGGGCATAGACCCATTAGGGCTTGGGCTCATACATCTCAATACTAAGATGCAACATTTTGGTTGCTTAACTTTGGTCTTAGTGTTTGATTGAGATGACAAAGTCCTATTGCTTTTTAAATTTATGGTCGATACGGGCCAATAGTCTATTTCTTGTGATATGTGTTTAAGGTCATAGAGCCTATGCGTTTTATTATTATTACTTTCAGTTTGTGTTAAATGCAGTGACATCTCCTCACCTTATCTATCTATTATGCGTCGGTAAGACTAGGTCTCTTCGTAGGGTGGGTGTGTGGCTTAGGCTCGACTCCTGGGCACAGGTTAGCGCGACCCTTAGAGTTAAGAGTCACATCTGACCAAGGTCTAATCGAGTCATTAGGCAGAGCTCATGCGACCCAACTTAGGAGTTTAAGGCCCTAAGCGATGAGTCGCGACCAAGCCAAGAGTCTTGGTATATTACTGCATGTTTCCTCTATGCTGCAACGAATACTAAGCAATGCTCAAAGCTAGCTTGCCTCTGACACGACATGTAAAAGCCACTACATGTGGTTTAGTAGCTCGACAGGGATACACCCACTTAAGGATGGTGACAACTGCTTAGGTGGATGTAAGTTGTACCTCGTAGCGCCCTGTTCTGTCGCAGGGATTCGCGAGAAGTATAGCTCGCGCACTCAGCTGAAGCGACACCTCGCTCTTGCATGCTTACAACATACCAAGGCACGTCCTGCGTGACACGGTCAGGAGGACCCTCGTATGCGCCGCAATTTAGGTGCGCACCCGGGTCGGTGTGCTCGACAACGGGTAACACGGAACCTATGGTTGTAGTCGGTCACCGACGTCAGGCCGTAGTAGGTCTGCAAATTAAAAGGGGTAGGATGGTGGCAACAAGGGCAAGGGTGTCAACTTGTAGATAAGGAGGAAAATAGTAAGGTAGGGGGTTCCACTAGGGAGGTAGGAGATGTTAAACCACCGGTACTCGACCCAACTATAGACACCAAGCAAGACATCCCCCTGCACGCCAAGTTTTGTCGAACTGTCGAGGCGCCGTTTCGTTTTCTTTTTAGCTGGTGCTTCCAGCCATTGTGGTATGGTTCCCTGAAGCCCGCAGGTCGCGGCTTATCAACGTCAACGTCTACGGCCGATGTATGGTACTGGTGGCTTACTAAGTGTAGCTAGACAAAATTGATAATTAGCATGTCTACAATTCCAGTAGTATTCTCTTCTATGATGTCTGAGAGGTTACAAGAAGAATCTGCAATTTGAAATAAGGCTACGTTGTTTAAAAACCAACTTATATATATATATATATATATATAAAATCAACTTCTGGCATTGACCAAAGTTGTAAGCAAAACTGGCTAATGCTACCATGATAACTCCGGGTTGAATTGCGAGGTCCCCGACCTCAACTGGAAATTCTCTAATATGAATTGACATGAAAAAAAAAGAAAAGATTTTGGGTAAGTGGGACTTGCACCCCGACCCGGTTGAGTGGCTGCCGAGGCTGGGTGACTCGGAGCATTGGGCCTCGTTCCACACCACTCGAAACTCAAGTATTTCCTGTGCAACACCAGTCCACAGTGTACTTTAGTTTCGCTAATCACGTTCCGGTCGTGATCAGGATTCCGGGATTAGCAAACGGGCGAGAAAAAATCAAGTGCGGCTCAAGTGCGGCCCAGGCAAATCGGGGGATTTTTCAAGTCACCTCTCCAGCCACACTTAAGCTGCACTTCAAAAGGGCGCAAGCAAGGGCCGTGAGGTGGTCGCAGGTGTGGTACAGTCCCGCCTCTTATTTTTTTGCATTTTTCCTTTTCTTGGCTGTAGGGGTGGCTCAAGTGTGAACAGAGTCCACCACTTTCCCGCTCCTTTTCTCAAGTACACGTCAAGGGTTATGTGGAACGGTGACAAGTTCGAGTATTTTTTAATGCCGATTGCGGTGGAGTGCGGCTCAAGTGCGGCACTTGAGTTTCAAGTGGAGTGGTGTGGAACGAGGCCCATAACCCTTGACTTGCACTCCAGAAAAGGAGCGGGAAAGTGCCAGACTCTGTTCGCACTTGAGCCACCCTCCAGCTGAGGAAAGCAAAAAAGCAAAAAAGCAAAAAAACGAGGGGGGGATGTACCACACCTGCAACCTCCTCGCAATTTTGGGGCTCGTTCCACACCACTCCAAAAGGGTTTCTTGCCCAACACGGCTTCACAGTGCGCTTGAGTTTAGCTCATCGCTGGCGGGTCATCATTAGGTTTTTGGGATTATCAAACAGGCGGGAAACTCTCAAGGGAGGCTCAAGTGCAGCCCAGGTAAATGAGGTGATTTTTCAAGTGACCTCTCGGGCCACACTTGAATTGCCCTTGAGAAGTGTGCAAGCGAGCGGCGCGAGGCGGTAGAACCCCCCGATGTTTTTTTCCCCCCGGTTTGTTCTCCTTTTTGTAACACCATTGGGCCTCGTTCCACTACCCTCGACTTGAAAAAAATCTCAAGGGCAGCCCTACGGGCGCCCTTGAGCCAAAACGTAATTAAAAAGTACTAGAGGTCGTCGGCATTCCACTACACCCTGCAGTTCCCGCTCCCAAAAGCAGCGGGAAAATGTGCACCCCTGTTCGTCACAGAATTTTCACAACCCAGGTCCATCGCTGGGCCCCGACAACCACGATTGGCAAAAAAAAAAAAGAAGAGGACCGGACGGGGGGCCTGAACTGCTGCCTGGCAGTGCATATTGCCACCGTTTTCAAGAAAACCTACGGCCGCCCTCGAGTTTCAGAGCGGGGTTTTGTTGAGGCGGGAAGCTTAATCTCTTTCCAGTTGTGATTAACACATCTCAAGGGCCTAGTGGAACGGCGCCGCCCTTGAGATTTTTTCAAGTCGAGGGTAGTGGAACGAGGCCCATTGTCCTGGTTGAACCTCTCCCGAGCTGTTCCGCCCATTTCAAGGGCGGACTCGAGGGTTAAGTGGAACGAAACGTTGACTCAGATAGTTTTTAATCACTTTTGCAACTCGAGTGTGTGCACTCGAGTTTCAAGTGAAGTGGTGTGAGGCCCTTTTGCCTGCGCCCTTTTGAAGTGTGGCTCAAGTGTGGCGGTGGAGGCGACTTGAAAAATCCCCCCATTTGCCTGGGCCACACTTGAGCCTCACTTGACTCTTTCCCTGCCGTTAATCCGGGAGTCCCAATCACGACCGGGGCCAAGGTCCCACTGGCACGGATGAAGAGATCCTGGCCGTTGGTCTTTGCTATCTACGGTCACTATCGCTTAATTCATTGTAAGTGGGACCTAGCCCCCGGGTGTGTTCCCGGGCCCCTGTCTCTCAAAAGGAATGGATATTTGTCTTCTCCAAAAAAAAAAAAGGAACTCAAGTGCGCCGTGGAACGGTGTTGACTTGAGTTTCGAGTGGTGTGGAAAGAGGCCCATACTCTCCCACCAGGACTTCTCATCTTATTTATATGTACGTTATTGAGGTCAGATGCCTCCAGGGACGTCCGTAAATAGCTACCGGCCTTAGTGTGAGTACTCACCCTCAGGGTGAGTCGCTGGATGGCCCCTCCTTCGGATTTATTTTTCTCGTTTTTGTTTCAGTTTCAGTTTTCCTCTTCTTCTTCTTTCCCGCGGTTTTCCTTGGTAATTCCCTGCGGAGCCTACCGGCTTCCCCCGCACACAACGCCCCCTTCCCCCGAACACAACGCACCCTCATTATGAATGTATAGAGGCTAGGTTTCCGGTTCGATGCACTCAACAACGCACCCTCATTATGAATGTATAGAGGCTAGGTTTCCGATCCGATGCATTCAAAGCAGATGGACGCTTGCCGCCCATCCTCGTCACCCGTCCTGCCTCCCCTTGCTCGCACACTACAATGGCTGCTGGACCTTCCTCGCACGCCTCTGCGTAGTGCATTTTCTGCTTGTCGCACACTGCTCAGCGTGCCTGCCCCGATGCGGCGTTGTCCCCACGGTGCCGCTCTTTGACACAACAACAGCTGTCCCACTCATCACGACGCAAATGCAAAATGCAAATGTAATGTCATCCCGCCTCAGCGCTGGACATCGGCATCCGCTTTGAGTGATAAGGAGAAGCGACGTGCGCTCGTGGGGTGGGTGATAGCTTTTTTCCCCTTCCACCGCGTCCCGTCCTCTCCCCTTTGGTTGACCATAGCCGCCGCCTCCTTTTCCTTCTTTCCTTCTTTCGTTCTTATGCTTCTTTCCTTCTTTCGTTCTTTTTTTTTTTTTTTTTTTTTTTACCATTCTTCGTTCTTTGCTTCTTTCCTTCTTTCTTTCCGTTTTCTTTCTCTGTATCGTTGCAATTTTAACGGATGTCCCGAAAGAACCTCCTTTCCTTCTTCCGCTTTCTTCACCGCCCTCTTTTTTTTTTTTTTTTTTTTGGTTTTGTTTTGTGTGTTTGGCCTCGTCTCTTCTTGTCATCCTAATTTTATTTTATTTTTTTGACATGTTTGCTATGCACAAATCCAATTTTAACGGATGACCGGGGGCCAAGTCCCACTAGCAGGCGTTGAGCGACCTCAACGCCTGAATCTGGACGTGCAGTTCAGGAAACTCAACACCATTTTTCTGCACATCTCCGCAAAAGCGTCCAGATTCAGGCGTTGAGGTAGCTCAACGCCTGCTAGTGGGACTTGGCCCCGGAAAACGGAAAAAAATGAATATGAAAACAGAAAAAAACAGAAAAACAGAAATATCAAACACATCACGAGATGTGTTCAAGCAGCACTCTCGGGGGCAAAAAAAAAAAAAAAGCATTCTCAAATACGCAGCTGGGCATGACGACGACAATAAGAAAACGAATGTCGTCGGATCAGGGACCCAAAAAAAAAAAAAAAAAAAAGAGAATAGGAAAAAAAGAACGAAAAACGAAATCACCTTTCGTTTCTTCACGGAATGAATCACTCGAAGAATACCAAACCCCTTTCGTTCTTCATCTCCCC